TAATATTTTATTGACGTATTTATTCTCCTTCTCGTCCTGCCCCACTCCACCTCTCTTCACTCACCACATAGGCTTAATTAGATTGTTTACAATCGGAAAATCTACTTTGAATTTTGTGTATCTCCTTGACAACAAATCCTTTAAAAATAAAAGGGGACCGAAATTCTATTTAAATTGGAAGCAGATAGCCAGGACAAATTAAGTTCAATTATTTAGAACAGTGTGGCTTGTTTGTTCGGGATACCGTAGTATTTTGTTGTTGCAAAATGGTCAGGCTTATCCCTTTATTGTTGTTTTTATAAAAACAACGTTTGTTTATTAGTGGAACGAAAGCATAACAAGTGGAGAAAGATGAAAATGTTTATAAGTGCGGTTGTAAGATTTAGAAGACTTTCCAAAAGAATTTTAGTTTTATATAATTCTTTGGTTCCTCTTCTATTGAGCTTACGATCTCGTCACTTGGGTAAAAAATGTTTTTTGTCATAGAAGTTATTTTTAAAATAACTTCTGGGGAGAATATCCCAGACAAAAACAAGGGAACTGATGAGGATTGGTGGCTCTTTCCGAAACCTAGGTATTCCCTGCCTTACCCCCTGGTAAACATTACCATCGTTCTCCACTAATAAACAAACGTTGTTTTTATAAAAACAACAATAAAGGGATAAGCCTGACCATTTTGCAACAACAAAAAAAAAAGTTCAATTATTTATTCATCAGGGCAATGTGGTAAACAAAGTGAAAAAGATTTGGGGAGGATATATTTTTGGTAATTTTCAGTTAAGTCAAATAGGTTATTTGTCGTCAACGACAGAGCAAGTGACATTGGTTGGTCTTTTGGTCATCTATGCCAGAGTGGCTGACTCTACTCGTCATCTACTCAACAGTAGATGTCTTTAGCCATCATCTACGTTACAGTAGATGACTAGAGGCGTCATCTACGTTACAGTAGATGACCAGAGGCGTCATCTACTCTACCGTAGATGACCAGAGGCGTCATCTACTCAACCGTAGATGGCTGTAGGCGTCATCTACTCTACCGTAGATGACCAGAGGCGTAATCTACTCAACCGTAGATGGCTGTAGGCGTCATCTACTCTGCCGTAGATGACCAGAGGCGTCATCTACTCTACCGTAGATGACCAGAGGCGTCATCTACTCTGCAGTAGATGACCAGAGGCGTCATCTACTCTACCGTAGATGACCAGAGGCGTCATCTACTCAACCGTAGATGGCTGTAGGCGTCATCTACTCTACAGTAGATGACCAGAGGCGTCATCTACTCAACCGTAGATGGCTGTAGGCGTCATCTACTCAACCGTAGATTACCAGAGGCGTCATCTACTCTACCGTAGATGACCAGAGGCGTCATCTACTCTACCGTCGATGACCAGAGGCGTCATCTACTCTACCGTAGATGACCAGAGGCGTCATCTACTCTACCGTAGATGACCAGAGGCACATCTACTCTACCGTAGATGACCAGAGGCGTCATCTACTCTACCGTAGATGAACAGAGGCGTCATCTACTCTACAGTAGATGAACAGAGGCGTCATCTACTCTACCGTAGATGACCAGAGGCGTCATCTACTCTACCGTAGATGACCAGAGGCGTCATCTACTCTACCGTAGATGACCAGAGGCGTCATCTACTCGACTGTAGATGACCAGAGGCGTCATCTACTCTACTGTAGATGACCAGAGGCGTCATCTACTCTACCGTAGATGACCAGAGGCGTCATCTACTCTACCGTAGATGACTAGAGACGTCATCTACTCTTCTGTAGATGACTAGAGACGTCATTTACTCTACCGTAGATAACCAGAGGCGTCATCTACTCTACCTTAGACGACTGTAGCCGACATCTACACTACCGTAGACGACTGTAGGCGACATCTACACTACCGTAGAGGACTATAGGCGACATTTACACTACCGTAGATGACTATAGGCGTCATCTACTCTACCGCGGATGACTATAGGCGTCATCTACTCTACCGTAGATGACCAGAGGCGTCATCTACTCTACCGTAGATGACCAGAGGCGTCATCTACTCTACCGTAGATGACCAGAGGCGTCATCTACTCTACCGTAGATGACCAGAGGCGTCATCTACTCTACCGTAGATGACCAGAGGCGTCATCTACTCTACCGTAGATGACCAGAGGCGTCATCTACTCTACCGTAGATGACCAGAGGCGTCATCTACTCTACCGTAGATGACCAGAGGCGTCATCTACTCTACCGTAGATGACCAGAGGCGTCATCTACTCTACCGTAGATGACCAGAGGCGTCATCTACTCTACCTTAGATGATCAGAGGCGTTATCTACTCTGCTGTAGATGACTTTTTGCGACATCTTCTCTACAGTAGATATCGAATACAGTCATTGAATGTAGATGACTCTGTGAGTTATCATCTTCACAGAAATAACTTTTGGGCAATCTTCTCTTAGATGACCAGAGGCGTCATCTACTCTACCGTAGATGACCAGAGGCGTTATCTACTCTGCTGTAGATGACTTTTTGCGACATCTTCTCTACAGTAGATATCGAATACAGTCATTGAATGTAGATGACTCTGTGAGTTATCATCTTCACAGAAATAACTTTTGGGCAATCTTCTCTTAGTAAAGCGATTGTTAATCAGTTATTCCATAGAAAATGACATTTTTGTCATCTACTCTATTGCTTTATTTGTCATCTACTAGGTCAAGGTCTATTGTGTAAATAATTTTCTTTCAACAGCCTAAACTTATGTTGACTCCAAATTTCCCACACATTCATCATCCAGATTTATGTTTCCTATCCATTTAAGAATCGACCCGATTCTACCTTAATCCGCAAACCTTTTTCCTAGCATCTTATAAATATAATGACGAAAATCGCAACCTAAGCCATGGAAACTAGCTTTTAATGCTACTACCACTCTCTGGCACACAACCATCACTGCTGCAGTGCTAACCAAAGGGTCATAAATTCTCCTAAACTACTAACCATAATGGCTTTTGTATGTATTATTAAAATTGAAAAGCATGCTGTTGATGCTGCTGCTGCCGCTACTGACGAGTAGATCCTTGCGTGCTGACTGCCTAAATACCAGATAATTACAATCATTTTTTTTCCTCCGATTTTTTTTTCTATTCTCTATAAATTCCCAAAAATGTTTAACATTTAACTTTGTTCACCATAAAAACCATAAATTTTATAGCAACGGGAGAGGAAGAGAACGGGAAAATAATATTAAATACCGAAAACCGAACTTTAACACTTAAAATCAGCCAGAAAACTTCCGGAATATTCCCATCACCTGGCTGCCGGGCTCCTGGCATTTCCATGGAACATCCCCGGCAAAACAGAGTAGTAGACACAAACACACAGACAAACGCTGAGTGTTTGTCCTGAATCAACATGCAGACGCGTGCATAGATATCTACCGATATACTTTACTTTCGTTTATATTACAAAACCAGCAACAAGCATTTAGCCAATTATAAAAGCTAGGGGTTGGGTGGGAGAGGTGAGGAGAGAGAGGGAGGAAGGAAAGTAGGTAGGGATAAATGGATGAATAAAAATCTCAACCATGTTTTGTGTCGCTGCAATGCTGGGTAATTCTTTATGTAGCCAAAACGTTCAAAACCACAGAAGCTACTCTGAAAACGAAACTGGGTTGCCGTTTGAAAGGTATTGGAGGCAGAATTTGGTTGAAGATTCAATTTTGGCCCTTTTTGTTGTCGTTTGTAGCAGACCCCTATCTACTCACCCCCTACGGTACATGGCTGTATTCGTCATCTACTTTACCGTAGATGACTGTTGGCGTCATCTACTCTAAAGATGATTGTGGGCGTCATCTACTCTACCGTAGATGACTGTGGGCGTCATCTACTCTACCGTAGATGACTGTGGGCGTCATCTACTCTACAGTAGATGACTGTGGGCGTCATCTACTCTACCGTAGATGACTGTGGGCGTCATCTACTCTACCGTAGATGACTGTGGGCGTCATCTACTCTACCGTAGATGACTGTGGGCGTCATCTACTCTACCGTAGATGACTGTGGGCGTCATCTACTCTACCGTAGATGACTGTGGGCGTCATCTACTCTACCGTAGATGATTGTGGACGTCATGTACTCTACCGTAGATGACTGTGGGCGTCATCTACTCTACCGTAGATGACTGTGGGCGTCATCTACTCTACCGTAGATGATTGTGGACGTCATCTACTCTACCGTAGATGACTGTGGGCGTCATCTACTCTACCGTAGATGACTGTGGGCGTCATCTACTCTACCGTAGATGACTGTGGGCGTCATCTACTCTACCGTAGATGACTGTGGGCGTCATCTACTCTACCGTAGATGACTGTGGGCGTCATCTACTCTACCGTAGATGACTGTGGGCGTCATCTACTCTTCAGTAGATGACTGTAGACGTCATCTACTCTACAGTGGATGACTGTAGACGTCATCTACTCTATAGTAGATGATTGTAGGCGCCATCTACTCCACAGTAGATGGCTCTATATAGAGGACCCTTTTATTGACATTCTTTTATGGTCGCTCCCTCCCTAAAATTTGGTACAAAATCATTCACGACAACCCTAAACAGCACCCAAGAACCCCAAACTCACGCACACACACACAATATGCTGTGCACAGAGAGTTAAGAATGATTGGATGCTACCGCAAAGCGGCAAACGAACGTACACCAGACCAAAAAAATATAGATTGTTCACGATTTAAAAATAATGAACTTCTAAATTGACTCTAACCAAGCGCGTAAAACGCTGCTACTTATTCACTCACTCACTCGCTCAGCCACTGGCTCACTGGCTTTATTTGAATTTTTCATTTATTTGCGGTTTAATACTTTGTCTCTTCTTTCTCTTCCCTTATTTCCATATTTCATTTTGGCGTTGGACATGAACGGAATGCGGAATATTTTTCTTTGTCATATTTTTTGGGTGGCCAACATCACTGCCACTGCATCACCTGCAGTCAAATGGATAACCAGAAGAAAAATCTATTGGAGGCGCTGAGCAAAAAAGGCATTGCTGTGGCTAAATTATGTGTTCTGGATAACAATGTGAGAGATCGCCTGGAAGATATCGATAATATATACACTGAAATCATTAAATTTGTGGATGCCGGAGATTCCAAGGTATGTATATACATGTAGTTCAGCCCCGGCTGTGAGTGTGGGTGTGTATGTATAGATGTATGTCTGTAGGTAAATAAGATTAAGTGGGTGTATTTATGTGTATGGTAATGTTACATGTTGCAAAAATGTAAGGGCATTAATGGCTAAAATGGCGACTTTGGCATTAACTCGCCAGAGCTTAACTTGGCCATTAAAAACAGCTCACATTGGCTATCAAAAGTTATGTTAATGGATTATGGCGCTTAGATAAGAGTATTTAAAATATGTGTAATTTAATATTTATGACGTGGTATTTAATGAGACGGCAAGGAAGATTAAATTAGGCAATTTTCCGATTCTCCCTTAGGCTAGCAAAGGCTATATATTTCCTCCATTCGATTAATATTTTTCTCATAAATTATTCGATTGACTACGTGTTGAATATTGAATATTTTTTGAAAATTGTTTAATTTTATTGACTGAAAGCAAAAAATATCGGAAATAGCAACAAATTTTCGAATAAGTTTAGATTTGTTCGAATTGGTCAACTTTGCCACGAATTATGGCCTTCAAACGGCCAATGAAACCATCACACACTGCCCGAATGTAATGCTCTGCGGTATTTTGGCTCATTCCCGGCGTAGCGCTTGCTTGAGGTGATCGGCCCTTTGGTATTTTTTAGTGCCAACCTTGCTTTCCAAAACATTCCAGATACAATAGTCCAACGAATTGGTATCCGGAGATTTTGGTGGCCATTATGCGCTGGAAATGAAGCGAGGAACCTCATTTTGTAAACATTCTTGATGGCGCGTGCTGAGTGCTATGGTGCTGGTGAGTCCTGTTGGAATGTCCAAGGTCTGCGGCCAATACGTTTGCTTGCCCAAGGCTTTAATACACCCTCCAGAATATTTTCGCGATAATATTCGGCATATTTTCTGATGCCATGGTCGATTCGTACGAGCGAAGAGCGACCATCGGCTGTTATGGCGGCCCACAACATCATTATGGCCGGCGCTTCAGTTCTGGTGGCCAACCGAAGGTGCACATTTTCAGCTGACCTCACGATCATTTTGTTTGTTTACAAACTGCTGGACAACGAATGTTTTCTCATCGGAGAAACCCAAATTCGGCAGTTCACCACTTTCGGCCAAGCAAAGCAAATCTGTAGCTCTTTATAGTCTATTTTCTTTCTGTTGCGGTGTAAGTTCTTGCACTTTTTGAAATTTCAATGGCTTTACCACGAGCTCATTTTTCAATATTTGCCGAATTGAATATTGCGATATGTTCAGCTCACGAGCCATTTTTCGGCCACTGCGGCGGCGGGTTTCGATGAAGTCGCTTCTTTACTTTTCGAACCATTTCTGCTGATATGGCTGTTTTCTTCCGTCCACTTCCTTGACGTCGGACTACGCTACCCAGTATCACGGTAATGAGCGATGGTACAAAACTCAAAAGATTTATTCGCATTTAAATGCTGGAGTGCTCTGCCAATAGCCACCTGTGGTTTTACAGCCAAATATAAGGAAATCTCACTATCACGCTTGAATTCCATCACGAATAACTTTTTTTTCGGAAAATTCTCATCAAAATGCTGATGTACGCTTGTAAACAATAGAATGAGCTGCCACTAGAATAATTTTAACAGCTATCGGGCGAGTGGCTTAGAAATGAGAGCAGTCTGAAGTTGATTGCAGTTTTTTCATCTCACCCTGTATATAGACACCCCTAGCACACTTCTCGATAACACATTTTTATTTTATTTGAAAAAAAAAATTATTTTCCCCTTTGCATTGATCCTTTCCCTGGAAAATACCAACAATTTTCACATTTGATTATTTTTATCAGGAAAACTCAATGACGTTGACGTTTGTTTTTCCTTCAACCAGAACATGTCAATTGTAAAGCAAATACCTGACGTTGAATGGACAATTTTGTAATAAAACCTTATTTTCCCCTTCTTTAAATTTCTTACCTACCCTCTCCCCTTCAGTGACTGTTCATACACTTCCGTTTCATTCAAAAATTGATTGAAAATATTTTTGTTTTTTTTTTTCAAACAGAGAAGGAGATTTTTTCATCAGAAATATTTACGCTTACGTTTATTTGTAGCATAAAAAAATACAAATTTTAGTTATTCGATACTCCCTGCTGCTGCTGGAACATCAAACATGTCTGAAGTGGCTCTTTTCAAGTTGACATTTATCTTTGAAAATTGCAATTGACAAAAAAATGAAGACAATTAAGATAATCTCCGTACTCCTCGAAGGTCAAGTATGTCGATTTACAGTTTTAACCTCGTGGAAAATTTATTTCGCATTTAATGAAATATTGTCTGTAATTTATTAACAGTAATTAGAAGATAACTTAATATTGTTTATGAATGGTTTATTGAGGGTAATTATTTTAAATTTAAATGGCATAAAATTAGTGGTCTTCTGCAGGCAATAAAATCAAAACAAAACAAATTATCGCTCAGTAGGTAAATTATCGCTCAGTAGGGTAGGGACTTAGGGACATCTCATTTAAGCCTAGCCTCAACCTCGCTTCATTCTCAGTTATTTTCCAGGGTCCGCTGGCTTATCTAAATTTCACTAAAATTATACGATACATTTTCAGAAAATTCGAAAAATGCTTACGTCCGAAGTTCTTTTTGCCTATATGACCCATATATTCGGAAGATACCCTATGATGTTTTGTTTTTCAAAATTTTGAACCTTTTGTGGGGGAAGTACCTGAAGGACTGCGCCGATCCATCCCATTTTTACAGCAGATCTTGTGTTAGTAGAAATAATGAGATGTGTGAAGAGAACCGGCTGCTTATTTCGAATTTTGTAATCGTTTTAGTTAATCAAAACGTTGACCCCTTGTGGGGGAGGCACCAGAAGGAGTTGACTGATATATTCCATCTTCACTCCAGACCTTGGGTTAATAAAAATATTGTGATTCGTGTAATCTGAGGATGATCGGACACTTACATCGCATTTTATAAGAGCTAAAATTATACAAAATTTTGACCCGCTGTGGGGGGTGGGCGTACTTGATGGAGTGGACCGATATTGTCCATTTTCGCACCTGACCTAGTACAGAGGCAAATATTAGTTTTAGCAAAGTTGGAGCAAAATCTGATTATCCTATCTCTGTCTGTGAAGTGAAATATTTGAATATTTCGACCTTTTATGGAGGAGGTACCAGAAGAAGTCAACCGAAATTGTTCCTCTCCGAACTCGATCTAAGTTTGATAATAATATTACGATGTATCAAGTTTGGACCAAGTCGTAGATTCCCTTCGAGAATTATTGTGCGCTCCAGTCAGTCAGACAGACATATGGACGGGCATCGCTAGATCGACTCCAAATGTTCTGAAACGGATATGGTCCAAAGAAACCTAGGGTATAAAATTGTTATTTCGATGAGGCACGCCGTATCAAATGATATATACCCTCTGTAGCGATGTGGCCCAGGATATAAAAATTCTGTTAAATGCTATCTAAAATTAAAAAAAAAAAATATTTTTTTCAAGGACATCTATGTAAAAAATTTAACCTTTTAATTTTTTCGCAATTTTTTTAAATGAGATTTTTATTCGGGACACTGTGGGTACTTTTTTCGGAACACTGTGGTGCTTATTAAAAATTTTCAAAGTGTTTCATTTCTCACATAAAAAAGTATGTTAAAAAAGTACGCTTTGATTTACCTTGTTTTTTAGGAAATTTTCGATTAAAAAAAAAAAAAAAATAAACTTATGTTTAAATAAGAAACTGTTTACATGAAAACGAGTAGGTATGTCTCTAATTGTAGCAAAAAATATAATATTTCTCTTGAGCAATCTACAGCATTGTTAAAAAAAAAACAAACAACTTTTTTTTTAATAATCGATTGACTCTTGTTCGGGTCAAATTGGGATTTATTTGTAAAACTACTCTCCGGGGGCATACATGTATGTATTGTTATACAAATATCATTAATTAAAAATTTCACAAAATTCCCAGAATATAAATAACAGCATATCATACATGACGTATAAGTAATAATAAGTATTATTTACATGACACTCATACCCTGAATTAATATACCTCATAAGTCGCATATTCATCTGCGACAATTGTGAAGCATAACTAAACATCCCTACAACTATCCCCACAAGCAAAAGGTTCTCCTCTAATATAGCAAAAAAAAATAAAAAATATTGACATAATATTAATCCGAATAAATCTACAGCATTTTTCCAAATAATTAATCAACAGGTTCTTTTATGCAGGGTAAAAAAGGGGATATATTTTAAAAACTATACACGTGCACAAGTGCAGCTTGTCTCATATATGAATAATTGAAAATTTCACAATACAGTTCTTGGAAGAAAACATATGAAGATTATGAATATGTGTGGCGTATGAGTAATAATATGTATTATTTACATGTTACTCATACTCCAAACTAATGTTGCTCATACGTCACATGTTAAATAGTGACGATTAGGTAACTTGATATAAAAAACATCACCACTACCTTCCTCCACACAGTTTTACGAAAGAGAAAATATATTTAAAAAAATATATGGGGTAAACTGCAAGGAGAATGTTAATCTTATTAAATATACGTATGTATGCTTGTATGTAGGTACGTATATATGTTGCATGTTATGGCAACATTTACGCAAAAGAATTCGTGTTAAAGATAATAAGCACACTTATATAATCTACTGATTATTTGAATAATCCATAAAGAAAATGAATATTTTGCTACAATGTTAGTGTGTGTGTGCGGGCGTGTGAGAGCGTTTGTGTGCGTATATTGTAACAAAATTACAAATGCATGGGTATGCTTCTTAAAGCCATACAGAATTAATTATCTACACTAAGATGCTCAGCAAGCAAAAGGAATTTAATTTAAGGGCATATTCTCATCAAGGACATGGTAAGGTTATGTGCTCGTGTTTTTTTTTAATTTATGAGTTTAATGATTGATTAGCCGGAAAACGGTTAAGGAAATTGGTAATTTATTTTTATACCCTCAGCCATATG